TTTTTAAAGTCTGATACAAGCAAAAATAGTGCTGTTATGGTCATCTTCTTTGTGATTTTTTTTTTCTTTTCTCTTTTCGGAATCCTTCTTCGGATTTCACGTTGGTTATCATTCCTATTATTCGGCAGGTAAGCCTCATGTATTAGTCGATCTGAAATTCTTGTGATAAATCCTCTTTAGTCAGGTATTTACTGCGCCAGATTTGTAGATCTGCTTTTTAGGGAGAATTAGTAGTGATCTTGATATAGTAATTGGGGATTGTGAAAGTCGAAGATATTAGCAGTTTTCATATGTATTTATTTTTAGGAAAGTCGACCTGATTATAAAGACTGGCAAAAGGAACATCAATCAGCTGGTGAGCCTTCAATTAACCTATGCAACACGATGTTTTCCAGGAGTGCCCTGAATTCTTTGGTCAATATCAATAAAGTTAAAATAACCAAAATTCTAATAGGTGTTCTTAAACATAACTAGGGGTTATTATTTCTTTTTCATCATCTATAATTTGTATATTATTTCATGGTGTCGTTCTTCCATAGAAGGAAGAACCTTCGGAAAGAAATTCAAAAAGAGAACACAAAATTACTATATATTGTCATGGGCAAAAGATAGATCTACAAAATTGGGCACGGTAAACTCGAGATCAAAGAAGTAAACACCACTATAATTGAGGTTAAATGTTTAGTTCTAGCAGGTGAGGCTTGTCGGCCGAATAAACTAAACATATAAACGTGAAACTCAAACATCTGAAGAACAAGTACGCGTAGAAGGTGTAGGTTGAAAGAAAGAAAAGATACAACAGCATGTGGCTACAATATAAAATACTGCAGTGAGAGAAGAAAAGCCTTTTCCGTTGTTATAATCATTATTATAAGCCCCTACTTTAGAATTGATTTCTCGAATTATTTAAAAGATGTAATATGCATTAATCCCTAAGCCTTGTGAATTCTCTAGGATAGTAAAAGATATAAAAGTACTGAGAATTCGTCATTGTAAAGGGACATCTTACGGGATTCCAATATTTTATAAATCACATATTTTAATAAAGTCCCCAATAACGGATCCGCTTTACTTCACCGACAGCTCGTTTAACCGACATCATGTCAAATGACTATTTACAAAAAATATACACCTGCAACTAATAAAACGATAACCCCAACCCTATGTGATGTCTGCCAACTGAACTTTCGGTCGGTGAAGTGAGCAGTACCGAAAATCCTTATATTTCAATTACGACTTAAAATGCAAAATCTCTATCAGGTTTGTTATTAGGATAAAAACCACAAAAATGTAGCGAAGATTTTTGATTTAGCTTGTTCTAAAAGAAAGTTATAACAATTTAAGTTTGCTAATATAAATCGAAATATTTTACTTTCTCACACTGTATATAAGCACAATATTCATATCATCTATACTTCATAAGCAGAGATTGAAATTTAAACAGCACATTAATTTCAGAGTGGACTTGACTCTCATAGCCACGGTGGTATTACCTTCTTATCACATGAATTCTAATGAATTTTTTCAAAGAATCCGTGCGTGTAATTTGTCGGCGCAGTTATTTTTGTTGGAAAGACGACTCTGAATAATTACGAGGTGGTTTGATTATTGAGGAAATTGGGTAATTTGGAGCCATTAGCTTGTTAGATAAATCTTTCCAAAGGGTTTTCTCAAGAATTCTTTTATACGGACGTATATTTTTGACTACATCATATCCAGAAATATGAAAATAACGAATATGAGGTAGACAATGTTGTAAAGTATTTTTCAGGGCATGAAAATCATTATGTGTCCAATTTTTAAGATTATCAGTTAATCCTTGATTATTTGCAATTCCCCATTTAATAACCGCATTCCAAATTTCCACTTCTTCCATTTTTAGGTCATCCCGTTCGAGAATCGAAACAAGTGCATTTTCTGGAATTAGTGTAAAATACTCTGAGCCAAAAATAACGCTTGGATATTTCACTACAATATCGTTACACCAATTTCGTAATTTTTGGAGTATATCAAATTTACTTTGAAAAATTGTTCTGTAGACACGAGCGACGAAATATTTTTTTAACCAATGATGTTTTTTATCAATTAAATAGGACTCAATATTCTTTGTTAAATCTTCAAGATGAAGTTCACAAGCGGCTAGCATAATATTGAAAGTAGATGAATCATCGAGGTCTTTGAAAGAGAATACACCTTCATAAATATACCTTAAAATTAAATTATCATTGTTATAATTAAATTAAATTCATTTCATTCCTTTTTAATAACTACATACCTTAATCTTATAAAAAATTGTAACTTACTTAATAATAATTTCAAAATGTTGAATAGAAATACTTGGACTCAAAATAATTCTTTTAATACTACTAGGATCTTTATTTTTTAACTCCTTACGAAAGTATAAAGATCTATATTTCAAAATATTAGCATGTGCCTTAAATTCTTTCTTTTGATATTCGCCCACTTCAATAATCGTATCAAAATCTTTTTCATCTTCAAGAAGTTCAATAGAATTATTGAAAAGATTTCCTGCGAATTCATCTGTGAATGTTGTTGGTGATTCTGGTGGCGGCTGTGGTGGTGGTTGTAGTGTACTTTGAAACCCGATCCATAATAGTATTACCGTTATAAGCAAAATATAAAACATAACGCAAGAACGTAAAGAACATAGACAATTAACGCTAAACGTTTTTGCTAAATTGGCTGCAAATCGTCACATGAACCGTATATTGTATTAATCATGCATCCAATTAAAAATTTCCAATGCGTTATATACACTTTCGTATCAACTATCGGAGTTTGCGAACTGGTCATTAGTCATTAGCATAACATAAAACAATATTAATATTGTAATATCCACCAGGGCTGCCGAAAAAATCAATTAAAATTAATTTTTGCTATACGTCATACAATTAAAATCAATTAAAATTAATTGAACAATTAAATTCAATTTTCTCTTACTGGTGTAACCTGAACACACTTTTCAAGAAAAAGAACTGCGAGCATGGAGGGCAATGTTTGTTGCTTGCGGATGCACCAACGTAACCCCTATTCCAAAAAAAGAATCTTCAATAGAGCTCTGGAGCAAAGCATCCAACCCCACTGCTGACAGAAAATTACTAG